GAAATGCACACCCCTTTGCAGGTTTACAGAACAGCAATGTTATCGGCACTGACTTCGCTCGCTGCAATACTGGGGCCGTGGGTTTGAATCACACTCCAGGCATGAATGTGTGTCTACTTTTATTCTGTGTTTATGTTGTCCTGTGTAGGTAGATGCCTTGCGACGGGCTTATCCCCTGTCTAAGGAATCCTACCAACAGTCTATGAGATTAAGAAACTGAAGTGAAACGAAGCGTTTCACGGATGCCCTATGCTCCAAGTGGGAGCAACAGGAATATGAATGAATGAATGGATATTACCGGTTGCTTTTGCTCTCTAGCCCCATGTTGTGAAGATTTTTCTTCAGCCACAAGATTGGAACATAGATTAAGGGTTTAAGGTTATCACATCTGTAATTCTGAAGAGCGACTACCTCCGTGGTCTAGTGGTAAGAGCTCCTGGTTACATATCTAGTGGTTCCAGGTTCGATTCCCGGTGCTACCGGATTTTATCTAAGAAGTAGTGGGTGTGGAACGGGGTCCACTCAGGCTCGTGAGGATAACTGAGGAGCTGTTTGAAAGATATAGCGGCTCCGGTCTAGGAAACCGAGATTAACGGGCGTGGGGATTTATTGCGCTGACCACTCGACGCCCTCTATCCGCTGAAGTTGGCACCAACTTCGCCGACAAGCGGGGGGCCCTCAGTCGGTATAGTTCGCTTGCGGAATAAAACCACGGCGTTCGTTAGTTCCTTCGATTCTGAAGAGCACGACCTACTCACTGCTTCTTGCACGGCATACTCTCAGATCTTGAAGATGGAGACACTGCGCCTGTGGGCTTGTACCTGACTGCACGGCGTTATATCTCAGCAGACAGTGCTGCTCACAGAGAAGGGTGTTTGCGAACAGAGTGCTGTGAATATCTGGAGGTAAGGGAGAGGAAGCCGGTCACGGTAGCCGAGCGGTGTAAGACACGTACTGTCTTCACTCGCTTGGACACCGGGATCGTGGGTTCAAATCCCACTCAGGGCATGAATGTTTAGTGTGTGTGTGTGTGTGTGTGTGCGTTTTTTGTGTTTGTGTACAGGTAGAGGCCTTGCGACGAGCTGATCACCCGCACAAGGGGTCCTACCGAATGTGTAAAATCTAGAAAACCCGAAATGAACGGAGAAGTTCATGGAGGTAGGCCTAGGCCCACTGGGGCTGTAGTGCCAAGGAAAAAATGACCTATAGGCGCGAGCTAATGAGGAGTTTCATGGCCAGTAGACTGAGTGGCCTCTTCTGGTAGACTATCAGATACGATAGCGACGACACACGCCACTTGGAAGGCGTAGGCTGTGCTGGAAGAGTAGTAAAGCGACCCTGTAACAGGCCATGGAAGCCCACAAGGTTGTGAGATGTCAAGGTTCCCACATTTTCTCTAGATAACTGTCTCACAGATGGATGTAAGGCTGTCAGTCTCACTGCCGGCCACCCTTTACCCCCCAGCAAGATTCTTGGTACTCATTTCTGTTAGAGGCTGAGTGGATCCCAGGGCTATAGTGCGGATGGAAGGATTAGGTCAATTGAAACAATTCACCTCTTCAAGACTCGAACCCGCGACCTTCCGAGTTGTAGCATAGTGCCTCAACCAACTACGTTACAGCGTGACCCCAGAAGAGAAGCATTATATGAAACTTAAAGTCTGAACAACTTGACAGAGTTGTAAAATTCTAGAATCGCTTCCGGGGGGTTCGGTTCGAATATCGGTCGGAACATAGACTAACCTAACTGAAGTGTTGCGTGATTTTCCTCCGACTATCTAGCCAAATATCTGGATACCATCTGGATTAGCCGACGGCAGCGTCTTGCCACATCCTTCCTAAATTCATCGTTCGGCAGTCACCATACAGTGCGTTGTATCTACCGGACCACGGTAGCTCTGTCGGTATAGCGACGGACCACATGCTGGACGGCCGGAGTGACAGTACCAGCTGTGGGGCCCACCCAGCCTCATATCCAATGGGGACCGAGAGCTCTTTCCTCGGAGTTAAAGCGACCGGGGCGTGAAGCTGATTACTCACCAGCACTTAGTGCCGAGGTCAAGAATGTTGGAGATACTCGTATATTTCCGTTCCCCCTTACGTCTTCGTGGCCTAGTGCTTAATTTTTTAAGCATGGAGACAATTTTGCCTTACAGTCTAGCTAAGAAACTAAGAGGTAAAGTAAAGCTACCCCTGTAACAAGCCGTGGAAGCTCATAGGGTTCTGAGACGTTGAGGTTCCCACATTTTTTAGACAATCGGCTCACAGATGGCGGCAAGGTTATCAGCCTTACGCGCCGGCCTCCCTTTACTCCCAAGAACATTCCAAGAATATTCCTGGTACTCATTTCTGTTAGAGGCTGAGTCGACCCCAGGGCCATAGTGCGGCTGGAAGGATTACGTCAATTGAAGAAAATTCAATGACCTCATTGGGATTTGAACACACGACCTTCCGGCTTGTAGCATAGTGCCTCAACCAACTACGCTATCGCGTGCCCACTTACAGTGAGGCTACAAACAACATTTGTAGAATATCCCACAAAAAGAGGAACGTAAAGACGTGGATTGGTGGGTGTTAGGAGACACGAATTAAGGCATAGGCGAAGTGAAGTCGTGGCCTAGGGCAGTGCTTCTCAACCGCCGGGCCGCGGCCCAGTAGTGGGCCCTGGCATCAATTATACTGGGCCGCGAGAGGATCTTCTGTAATTTGTCATTTTCATTTTCTAAGCATTTTTCATGAATAAATATTTTATAGTTAGCTTAATGCATGAACATTAACAAAAATGGAAAGGTATTTACGAGTAAATTTATTGGGACTGGGCCCTCGTCTTATAAAGAAAGAACTCACTGGGCCGCGGTCTAATAAACGTTGAGAACAACCGGCCTAGGGCCCCGCGCCAGATTTGGTGTGAGAGGTGTAGGGGCCCCTAAGGCGTTTAAGCGCAACACAATCGCTTCCCGCTCCGCGTCCTAATTCATTGTAATACATAACAAAGCGTCTAACACATATCCATATACCCTACCACAGTTTTCTGGTCCCTGTAGCCCCACAATGCACTCTGGCCTAGGGCCCCGCAAACTCTTAGCCTGCGTCTGCCTATTAGGCCTTTAGTGTGCTTAGGTTCATGTGGCTTGGAATAGGAGCTACTGGCAAGGTTCTTTGAACACCACTGGTTCCGTAAGAGGAGGGAAATTTCTCGACCTGATGAGCAAATATCAGCTTCTGAACAGTTATCTGCTCTTTAGTGTTAGTTACACGCGAATGCAGCTCTTTTACGGTTGTCAGTGTCTCAAATTTCTTTTCATAACATGTTTATATTAACTTAAACCTTCGAAGCTTAAGCACCACATCAACATTGCACACAGTAGGCCTGTGTTTATGTATTTCGTATGATTCTCAGGATAAACAGCTACTAACCCATCACCCTTTGGCCGCGCCATAGCTCAAGCGGTTAGCCGCTGGCTTCCCACCGCGGCGGACGGGGTTCGATCCCGGGTTTGGTCAAGTGGGATTTGTGGTGGACAAAGTGGCACTGGGGCAGGTTTTCTCCGAGTACTTCGGTTTCCCCTGCCAATCTTCATTCCACCAGTTGCTCCACAATCACCCTCACCTATCATCTGGGGCTGGTACAATAGGCCAGATGTGGCCGCAGTTCACTGTTTTCACAGCACAGCAGCCACGAGCAAACCCTGGACGATATAAAGAACCTCCACATCAAGATAGCCAGGTGGCACAATATCTGCCCCGTATAAGAGGGACGATGGGAGGACGAACACGAGCCTGCATGGTTTACGAATTTTAATTATTGACAATACAAAAAAAAATTTTAATTAGCATCAAGAAATTTTATATACTTTTTTAAAAAAATTTACATTCCCAGGAAACTGCTGTGTTTGTGAAATGTTCTATTTTGTGTACTATGCATTGTAGCATATAAGTGTACGTACTTTACGTCTAAACAACTTATGTGAAGGTGGTTTCCTATTTGTAGTGATGTTTGCCCTCTGAAGATGGTCCAGAGAGACCGAAAGTGTTAAGTTTTCATGTAGTAAAAAAACTTACAGGTCACATTGGACGGAGTGATTTATATTTGTAATTGTTAGTGTGACGGACCAGAATGAAACAAATCAAACTTATTGGAGAACGCTCACAGCACAACCCCCTCCCCTCGCCGCGGCTGTTCTTGCATTCATCTCCGTGATGTCAGTATGGTGGATATTCATGCTAATTTTTGTATGTCTGTGTCCTGTTGATTTCAGCAGCTGTTTCGGTCGCTCTTAAACTTGAGAGAGCCAAAGTTTTTAATTATCGATATTTTACGGGAACTGAAATAGCTCAGGCAGTATGGCGACTGTAGCTACGGGCTAGACAGAGGTATCGAGTTTCGATTCCTGGCAGGAGCACAATTCTTCTTCTCAGCCACAGAGTCCAGACCGGGTCTAAGTCCCATCCAGACTTCTACCCATCTGTACCGGGGAGTTCTTCCCCCGGGGAGTGAAGCTGTTCATTTATTACAAGTTAAGAGTGTGTGGATCTACACCTCCGTTCTCCCACATGTCTTCATGGCAGAATGCTTAATTAAACGCAGCCAAAATTTTTCCCCACTTTGCAATAACAATATAGCTAACGATCAAGCAGACCTACCTTCTTCGAGAGACACAAAGTAAACAGTCGTAGACCTGTTATAAAATGGTGTCTTAGCCTAAGCCTAGTGACATATTTATGAACACACCAGCGAAAATTGCGGCCGAACAGTTAAAATTTCTCCTGTCCATACTCAGGAGGTTACGGTTTCGAATCTTAGTCTGGAGACTAGACGACATTTCTGAAGGCCCTGATGCTTTTCCTCAGTCTCCCCAAGCCAATTATGGAACAGTATGGCTTCCGTAAAATAGGCCACAATCGCATTTTTGCTTGCCTTCCGGTTCATCACTCACCATGCAATTGCAGTGAAAGAAAACACGTTAAATTGTCCCAATGAATGCACAACATTCAACTAACCTTGACGGTGGCCCCGCAGCGAGCAAGCTGCACCAGACAGACAGCAGACAGCACACGTATGCCTACCTGCGCTGGAGCCGCTGAGGTCAAACCCGGCAGGCTGGAAGCCAACAATGACACTGACTACAGGGGACACCAGGGGGCGTCGCTTTCAGACAAGGAGGAATGACGGAGTAGATCTCAACCAACCAGCTGCTTCGATCGTCTAATGGACGATCCAATAGCAGCTACTGTTCGCCTGATTGGCTGCATAATGCCCCACATTCATTGGTCGCTGCCTGCCAACGTCAGGAGCAACAAGTCGCATATCTCCATAGCAGACTTCGTGGTTCGAGCCCAGTTATCATTGAGCAGTCTTTATTCACAATTAGGTGTATATAGGCTTGCTGTGAAGTAGAAGGCTTGTGATTGGGCTGCAAGTAAATGGCCTGCGAGGACAGCAGTATCTGTGACGAAACCGATTATTGCCATTGTTATGAAGATGCGGTTAGAGGCGTATTGTCTTCTGACACGTCAGGCTATGTAGAAGTGTAGCGACGTGTCTCGGAAAAATATTGGTGAACTTCTACCAGATTACACGGAGTCATATCGCAGAATGTAGTACTCTATATCAGAGGTTCTCAACCATTGTGAGAGCGCGGGTCGATAAATTAATTTTTTCTATAAGACGAGGGGCCGGTACTGGGCCGCGGCCCGGGGGTTCAGAAACACTGCTCTATATTGCCATCACTGTGAGAACCCTAAGGGCGGCCGCACACCAACTGCGTCAAGACAAGCGTCAGGACATGAGACAAAACACGCAGTCTTGCTTCAATCGTGATTCAGACTCGATTCCGCACACCGAAGTAGCACGTGTCCGCGTCTTACCACATCTTCCCTAGCTGATGACATGACGTCATGTCAATAACGTACACTGGTGCTGCTCCCTGAGTACTGATGTCTGAGTCTTGACGCACAGAAAAGCAACATGCCGAGTCTTGCTGCACGTGTCTGCAGCATGAAGCTGATGTCAGCATCGTGACTCAGACCGGTGTGCGGCGGTTTTCATAATCTTATCCGTTTCAACTGTGCTCCTTTCTTTGCGTCATGTCGCAGACATCGCATCTTGACTGTTACATGTCTTGACGCATTCCGGTGTGCGGCCTACCTTAATCCAGCAAGACTTAGTCTATTCATCCATTTTACGGCACGTTTTTTAACTTCTGAAGTAACGGAGCGCCGTCTGGTGGGCTTATTGTGAACGACAGCGCAGAGAGGCGTTGTTATCTGCTTAGCTCTATCTGCATTACACACGAAATATATCGCGTCCATCTGCTGCTCGTCTCCGGATTCATTTCGGCGTTTGGAACTCAGACGCGCATAAGAATTCCAGCGCCCCTGAGCAGTTAGCTTAAAGTTTAACACGGCTATGCGTATATTTTCAACNGATTATTCTAATTATTAAACTGGTGAGTGACAGTGGAGCGGTTACAGTAGGCCTATCGTCATCAAAAAGCACAGGCCTATTTAGACCTAAATAGCAACCAGCAATTCCAAGCTTTCCTACTCTAAGTTTAACCTGCACGTGTCTGTTCGTACAACAAATGCATGTAGTTTAGTTAGTGGTTTCGCCCAGACCCGCTGTGCTTCTGCTTAGATTGTCACAGAACTGAACTCTACTGGAACCAGGAGCTCTGCTCTCCTGCTGCTTATAATGGTGAAAATACCTAGGTACTGTTAAAACTTATAAAGAAGTCCCTGTGCTTAACTAATAAAGCATTACGCCATAAAGACGTATGGGGGAGTGGATGCATAGATCCACGTTTTCTTGACCTCGGCACTGGTCGGAGGTGAGTGGTCAGCTTCATGCCTTTGCCGCTTTACCCCCGGAGAAAGAGCCCCAGGTACCCATTGGATAGGAGGTTGGGTGGACCTCAGAGTCGGTCTGGACGACGTGGAGAAACCTCTTGACCCTATCAGGACTCGAACTCCGACCTACACAATATCAGGTCCCTGTGGTAATATCGCTCTCGCGGCTTGCACATGGCAAGCTCTGCTAGGTTGCTATTGCGCTTACTAATTGCAGAATGAGTGGCCTCCAATGGACAATCATTCTTACCAGACTTCGTGAAAATCAGTCAGTCTCATCGAACGTTTAAAAGGGGACACATGGCGTAGTTAAGCACATATTTCATAAAGAGAAGTAGGCCAATCGGATGGGAAATGACTAAGAAACTACCCCAATATGATACAGAAAAATTTTAAAATGCAAAATCTCAGGCCCAAAATGGGATTCAAACTGGGTGCCTACCCACTTGTGTCTCGTGTTCTAGTAGTCTATCGCTACAGTATTCTTGTGTAGAGGCACACTCTTATGTTAGTATAGCGTCATTAAATAAACGACATTATAAATACGTCGCTTTTTAGCCTAATTTCCTCATTTTGAAAAAATAAAATGAGGTTTATGCGATCATCTTGCTGTCTGTTTGTGTTTCCACCCGTAACAGCTTTCAAATGCCTGAACCGATTGTTATGAAATTTGATACACATATCATGCCACCTGGGGTATCACAACAGCGTACTTCATGAATACCTCACGTCGGTAACGCCAACACTTGCCGCGCATCAAACTTTTGTTTATGTTATTGTTTTATTGACTTCATTGCTGAACTCATCTGCTTCTGGACAGGGACAAGTGGAGGGATCTTCTCGGTAATAACCCTTAAGGTTCCATAAATTGTCGGGACATTTTTGAGTAGCTGAGCAACTGGCGGCTTCTCAAGAACTCATTGGAAATATTTATGTCCCCCGATATGACGAAAAATAAAATGCTCATCGAAAGCCTCAATAATAACTGGGGCCCAGACCAGCGTCACACACGCCTGTCATCAGCCATGAATTTTTATACTTGACTAACAGAAGAAGAGGGAGATCGGAAGGAATTGTTGCACCAAAAAGAATACGAGAAATGAGCACAGAATATTAGAGGAGACTTAAGCATACAAGGGAGTATAATAATAAACAGATTGTCAAGAGAGGGGTTTATAGATATGGACTGGACTTAGATGGCCCAGGATGTGATCCACTGGTGGGTTTCGGTGTCCATAAGAGCAGGGAATTTCCTGGCCACCCGTGTGACTATCAATTCTTTAATTATAGCCTCTAATCCTACCATGTGGTTAGTTACACGGCAAGACATTTTCATTCCTAGATTCAGCTATAAATAAACAAAAAAAAACAAATTCCGTGGTCTGTAGTCCGCAAGCGAATTATGTCGACCGAGCGACCGCCGCTTGTCGGCGAAGTTAGTGCCAACTTTAGCGGGTAGAGGGTGTCGCGTGGTCAGCGCAACGGATCCCCACGGCCGTTAATCTCGGTTTTCAGCTACAGTAAGGAAAATACAATGGTTCATGCGGGGGGAGTTACATTGAGACATTCTCGAGAGAATGAGACAGCGTGAAATCGGAGCGGACGGGGAGCCGAAGTGGAACGCGCCCCAGCTCATGCTTCCGTGTAGGCCTCCTCGTATGTGAATCGATGTTTCCACAATCGATGCTCCAGACGCGTGGGGTTTCCCACGACTTCTGGTTCTCTCCACTTACTGTAAAGACTCTGTTCTTCAGATCTGTCACGGGGCCTCCTTTCGGTTCTCAGAACCTGAAGACCGCCTCCTTCAGCACTCTAGCCACAGTTTAACAAAGACGCTCGTAAATCAAGTTTTGAATATGCTGCCTAAAGTTAACAAGTTCGAACCCCCATAATAGACAGTGCAATAATGAATTTCAGGAATGGAAATAGAAAGAATTTTCGGTTATAAAATTATAAATTCCTGGCAGCAATAATGCAGACTATTCTTATTACTGTTCTTCTCCAAGTATAATTAGAATGATCAAGTCTAGGAGGATGAGATGATCAGGTCATGTGGCACGAATGGGGAAAAGAGGAATGCATATAGGGTATTGGTGGGAAAGCCAGATGGAAAGAGACCACTAGAGTGATAAAAGATGTAGGTGGGTGGATAATATTAAAATGGATCCTAGAGAAATATGATGGAATGGTGTGGATTGGATTGATCTGGCTCAGGATAGGGACTAGTGGAGGGCTTTTGTGAACACGGTAATGAACCTGCGGGTTCCGTAAAATGCTGGGAAGTTCTTGAGTAGCTGCACAATTGGCAGCTTCCCAAGAAGGACTCACCTCCGTGAGTGAGTGTTTCCTATTAATGCGCTTTCTTAATATAAGTTTTATTGCAAAACATGGGCCTACTTTAAATTATAAAAAATAAACTATGCAGGTAGCAAGCTAGAACTCTCTTAAGGAACAGCCCGACTGCAGTGAGTGGCGACCCTGCCTTTTGCGAGCTCCAGGTCTCACTGGCCCAGTGGGTAGCACCTGGTAAGCGTCCCTACCCAGGGTTACGTGAAGGGCAGACAGGGCTCGTGAGCCATGGCTAAGTGAAGGAAACTCTGAACAGAAACCCTAGTCTTCCAGGCTTGTAACCTGCTTAAGGAAAAAAGACTTACTCGTAATTCTCAGCGATGCTTCATGTTCGAGGACAGAACGGACTAACAAATTCAACTCTTATAGACCACGGTGATGATGATGATATGACGATGGTAATGGTAAAGCTATCCCTGTAACAGGCCATGAAGGGCCATAGGGTTGTGAAACGTCAAGGCTCTCACATTTTCTCTAGATAATCGGCTTACAGATGGTGGTGAGGTTGTCAGCCTTACGTGCCGGCCGCCCTTAACCCCCAAGAAGATTCGTGGCACTCATTTTTGTTAGTGGATGTGCCGAACTCAGCGCTATAGTGTGGCTGGAAGGATTAGGTCAATTGAAAACTCCAATGACCTCATCGGGAATCAGAACCGCGACCTTCCGGCTTGTAGCATGGTGTTGATGTTGATGTTGATGTTAATGTTGGTGTTGATGTTGATGAATATGCTGACAAGATTCATCTGCCACGCGTGAACTACTTTCGATCCCGGCAACAGCGCGGTCTATGACACATGATCCCGGATGGTTTCACCACTGACATCACGGATTCAAATCTCGCATCTCTGTATTGCTTGGTAGTTTGTTTAACGACACTGTCAGTAACTCAGACTATAGATCTGTAAAGAG